GAGAGAGAGAGAGAGAGAGAGAGAGAGAGAGAGAGAGAGAGAGAGAGAGAGAGAAATGAAAACAAACTCAACTATGAGCACAAACTAGAGGAAGAAAGGCTAGTAAACACTGGCTTATGACTCATCAAGCTCAACACAGAGTCATTCACACCATCCTGGATTCTATTCAACAAGTTGTCTCCATAGTCTCCTGTAACCTTGAAGTTTCCTATGACCTAGCCAATCAGCTAAGGGTGCTTTTGCAATGTTTGCATGGAAATTACAAATCTACTAGTGCAGTGGGCTATGAGGGACAGTGATCTGTGGCCCTTCATTTGACAGAGTTTGGCAGCTCCAAGTTTATTCACAATCTCCTCGGCAGCTGGCTTTATAGCAACTTTTAGCAGCTTTCTGAAGCTTGTCTAGCACCTTCTGTTATACCCTGACAAAAGTGACTCCATTTCATTGCCCTTCTACCCTCTCCGTGTTCTTGTTTCGTATGCGTCTACCCCTCCCAACTCTCTCACCCCTGTGACCCAAGCCTTACCTTGACAGACATCTGTACCCCAAGCCTTATCTTGATCTTGATGAACTCTGTGTGCTTACCGACCTCACACCCCCATCCAATAGATCCACCCAATGAACTAATGACTCTGCCACTTCTTCCCCTTTCTCCTTCCCTGTTTTTTGTGGTTTTCAAGCTTAAATACTGATCCTTGTCAATGCCCGGTGCGCCTCTTTGCACCTCTGCATAGAGACTGCCACAGGGTACCTGCTAAAATAAAGCGCTTCTTTTAACTTTTGGACTTGCCTCGTTGTCATTTGATTTTTGAGCTACAACAGCTTCCACTTCTTTCTAGAATCTTTTCATGGGTCTCTACTGATCTCTGCCAAGTGCCACTGCTTTTTGCCACTAGTTAACAGCAGTCACTTCCAGGATCTGCCACTGGTCTCTGGGGTGCTTGAGGACTAGCAGCTCCTAATACTACTAATTCTTATAATGATACCAGTTCTGCCCATACTAACTAAAATAAGCTTGAATATATTAACAAGACTACCACAGTAAATCTTATTATTTGAACCTATGCTACAGCATAAGGGTCAAACTATTAAAAAAGCTCTCCTTGACTACTCAGAGAAGTGTGAGAGAACATTTCTTACATAGAGCAGCAGCGGGCTACAAATGCATGGCTTTGTACGTTTCAAGGACCTGCTTGAGAACTTCCAAAGAAGGACATAGGCTCTGATTCATCTGGACGTTACAGGGCAAAGTTATTAAGAGTGGACACCAGGAGGAGGCATCTAGGGTTGGTCAAGGTCTCAAGCCTGGTATGGCCAAGGCAGATGTGTCCTGCAGCACTTGAGGACATTTAGAACACCTGCAGCGGCTATAGCTACACTTCAACAAAACTTCAGGAAAAGTGGTGGTTTAATTGTCAGCTCCACATTTCTATGAACCTGGCAGTGCTGAAACTGTGACTGCTGCTTTCTTCCAGGAATCCTCAAAAGGAAAGCAGTGTCGATTACACAATCCTTAGGTTTAGGAATTTCAGGGATGGTGTAGTCAAGGTTTGCAAAGGAACCATTAAATAAAGGAGACATAATTTGTAGAATTATTTTATAATTCTCACCCAAGCAATCAAGTTCAAAAGAAGGCAGAAATCTGTCCACACACTAAAGACCCAAAGAATCCAGCTGAGGGCTTGAATCCCTCGGAAATGTCCTGCATGAGTCCAGCTGAAGACCTAGAACTCATAACAATGCCTCCTACAAATCCAATTGGAGGTCAAAAGCCTGAGACAATGTCTCGTACAAGTCTGTTTCACAGATCTGTGCTAAGAAGGTCCAATGGTCTATGGTGGAAGCTAGAAAATCTGTGCCAGCAGGATAAAGGATCTGTACCAACAGACTGAGGGATCTGCACTGAAGCAAGGAAACAACACTCCAAGTAGGACCAGAGCTTCCCCAAAATGAACTGCAACCGTCCTCAGCAACAACAAGGTCCTAAGTTCCCTTTGACAATGAGAACAGCAGAGTTCGTATCAGGAAAACCAACATGACAAGCTCCATCAGGAGAAACAGCACCAGGAGAACCAACAGCTCCTTAACAACACACAATAACCTCTTGTTTCTCTTCAGTTCTTCTAATTTTGTTGGCAAAAATCCTCAGGTGGGCCCTCCGCATCCACACCGGTTAAGTTCAGCTGGGTATTACAAATTGGTTACCAGTTCACCACACTGGATATCACCCACAGACTTCTATCCTTCCTTAGTCTTTGCTATGTTAAGTGTAAGTTCCTGTCTCCTTCCTAGAAAGATGGTAGTACCTGCATGTTAGAAGCTGGGAAAGATGCCCACCTGTCACTGAAGCAGTATTTTCTGTCAGCTTAGCCTGGAAGGTGATCATTTAAGTAACCCCAAAGGTGTTAGGAAGACCCTAAACCTTGTCACCCTTGGACACCCTAGAAGAGGCAAATAATTAGTGGGAGGAGCCTATCAATAGCCTGTCAGGCCACAGTCCTTCTCAGAGGTCCCAGGAGAGGGTCAAGTTTCATTTCTGCTGTTGCTGTTTCTAGCTCAAAACCATGGTTGAAGAAGACTTGGTCACCAGGGTTAAAGATAGCAATTTAGTACCCATTTCATCTTGGCCATTTCTATGGCTAGAGATTATCACCAAGCCAAAGTATGCCAAGGAAGGCTATGAGTTAAATCACAAAATCATGACACACATCTAATGTTCCAGAGGAGCCACAGAAGAATGATTTAGAACAAGGCTTAAACTAATACTGAAAGAGCCATTCAGAGGTGCTACAAGCCATGGTTGAGGGGCTGCAGTGTTACAGAGCATGGTAGCTAAGTGCCAGAGACATTCACAGGATGAGGAAGGGCAGGAGGGGAGAAAAAGCCAGAATCCTACCAGGAACTTCCCATAATGCCACACTGCCTTCTCCCAAGTATGTGGCAAGAAGGTTTCCCAACATTTGCAGAGACTTTAAAATCAATTAGTGCCTTGGCTTCAGAGAATATATTGTAACCTGTCCCGAGTAATAAAATCTGCAATGCACAGCCTTACTTTCCTCTATGAAGAGCTTGAATAAATAAGACATTTATAAAAATGAGTGGAAAATCTGAAATGAATATCCCAAGAACCATGAAAAAATAAGCTAAGAGAAATTGAATTTTCTTTTGAGTCTCTAAGAGAGAGGCAGCAGTAGAGGATTTTATACATAATTTATAAGGAAAATTGTCCCGTTCACTCAGGTATACACCATATCAGTTTGTGGGAAAGATTAAGCAAGCTGTCTTTTTTTTAATTGAAATCAAATGTAGGCATGGAAGAAAATGAATTCTGACTGAGAGAATGCAAAGAACCATACAGCCAAGGGTTTTCTGGAGTTTGAATGAGAGTTTTGTCTTATTTTCAAACCAAAGAACTTTCACCTTTTTATGCACTAGTAATAAGAAAAAGGCCAAAAACAAACTTACTTAGCACTCAGGCATCTTACTCTCATTTTCTCCCCATTTTAAAGAAAGCTAGGAGTTAGCATTTATGGTCCATTCCTCAGTGTATATCTATCATTTGGACATCATTAGTAAGGAATGCTCCAGGCTGATCGTCATTGGTTCCAAATATGTTACCATAAAAAATTCAGCCTTTGTATTTTTTATGTATATATAACTATTTAGATTATAAATACTTCCCAGGACAAAACATTAATTCCAGCAAGCTATTGGTGATTTCCTGTCTCAAATTAAGAAGATTCAAGGAGACGAGGCAAGTAAAAGGAAAAAGACTTGGAAGAAAAGCTATACTTCACTGATAAGCCATTTTACTAGGAGGACTCCATGATTGGACAATAGGATCAATATCAGCGATTTATATAGGAAGCTTAAGGTATTTCCCATGGCTCCTCTTTATCTCGAGAGCCTTCTTGCCATCCCTCTTCTCCTTTCAAGGAACATCATTCTGATACTTCCTAAGCCACTCTGAATTCCTTCAGGAGTAGTGGCATGCAGGCACTCACCAAAATACTATTCACACGTTGTGTGTTCTTTTTCCATTATTTCCTGGATCTTTGGTCCGCGCCCCAGTGGACCCAAAGTGCTAATGGACTTTGTTGCTGGAATCCCACAGCATCTTCAGGAAAGTTTCTTTTTCCAAGCAAATCTGTGCTAATACTAGAAAAGTAACATAAAAGAAGTGTAATGATACAGTGTGTTACATTTTCCAAAATCCATTCATGCTATATATATATATATATATATATATATATATATATATATATATATCAAGGACATAGGGTTTCCAAAGTGGAAAATAACTACTGAGCTCAAGGTAGCATCAAAAACAATAAAGATACATAGAGATGAGATGTGAAAATTGTAATTTTAAAACTGTGCTTAAAATAACTGCAGCTTCAGGACAATCAATGTTCCCCAAAGTTACAACAGTATTTTTTCACCCTTAAGCTTATTTTTTCCCTTCCGGGAAACTCACTCCAAAAATTCATGAGAGTTACAAGCACAGTAAGTCCATATATTGAGCCCATGATTTCACTTGTAAATTAAGCCTTAACTTTTCCTCCAATACTACAGATCTGCAAGTATGACAGACTTTATCCTCAAGGTAATGGCACTGGTAAGTCGGTACATATCTCTAAACGGCAAGTACAGACTAATGGATTCAGGTAACCTGACAGACTAGGAATTCTCAGCCTAGATCACTCACTGAGGACACACCCAAGACCGCATAAGAGCCTCTATCCACAGACCACAGTGTTTCTCACTCTGTGAATGTTCCCATTGAGTGTGTGTTTCTTTCTAGATAAATAAATCTGTTGAGCTTTCACTGACACATATCAAAATTCTTTTGCTGTAATGTAACTCAGCCAACCTATACCCTGCTTTGTGGGTGTGGTGAATTGAGGCCTCTATCTCCTCTTGAAAGAACTCCTTGCATTCTGTCTGGTGACAAGATGACAGCCACTAATAACTGGCTTTTGTTGAAGACTGCTCTATGTGAAGCTCTCTTTAGGAACTCTTTGGAGCACATCATACACACTCGCTATTTCGGTTCCTCCTAGAGTACTATGAGATGAGACAGCACTGTACATTTTATTAACGCAGAAACTGTGACTTCAAGAATGTAAGTTACCTTCTCAGCATCACACAAGGGTGGCAAAAATTACTACTTGAAAGTAGTTCTGTTTAAAAGGAACTCAATTGTCCTTATATGTTGTTACACCAAACAAGTCAAAAGTATGGAACTTTTTGTTTTCCCTCAAGGTCAAGCAGCATAGGTGCCACAGGTCTAAGAGCTCATCAAATGTATGTTCAACATTACTTGCTGCTTCTGGAAATACAGACAACTTGATGAAAAAGCAGAATGCTATAATACACAGCTTTGTGCCTAAAACTATACTAATCCCTGGATTCTCACCTGGAACATTCTGCTTCACAATGGAAATCTCCTATGGGTTTCTCAAATGATTTTAAGACAGTTTATCTGCAAGAAAGGAAATTAATTAAATGTTCTCCATTAAACTTATGGTAATTTTAGCCTTTGCATCTTCTGGAAAAAGAACTCAGTGTGAGTACAGGGCAAGTTCCATACTAATATTGCAATTTTGATCCTCCTGTGTTATTAGTAGAGTGAGTTGCTCTAAGAGTTTCACAAATTTGAAATTGTAACTATAGTAATTCTTTGTAAGCTCATTTATAGAACTATTTTTCTTTAAGTGAAATAATTTTTTTTATATTTTTCTCAGTAATATCATTTAATAATATTTAAAGGAATAGAGAAAGCATTTTACAGATGCAGTGACAATGACAGTAG